ACAAAAAAAAAAAAAAAAAAAGAAAGAAATCAAACATCCAAATAAGTGTTCACTGACTGGAAGACTCAACATAGTAAAGCTATCTGTTCTCCCCAAATTAATTTATACATTTACTTCAATCCCAATCAAAATCTCAGCAGGATTTTTTTGTATAGATTAGCCAATTCTAAATTTATATGGGTAGAAAAAGGAACTAGAATAGCAAAAACAATTTTTTAAAAAAGCAAAGTTGGAGGAGTCAACTGATTTTTAAGACTTACTGTGAAACTATAGTTATCCAGTTAGTGTGATATTGGCAAAAGGATGCACATGTAGACCAATGGAACAGAACAGAGAGTGCAGACGCAGACATAGGACCACACCACTATGACCATTTGGTCTTTGACAAAGGTACAAATGGAGAAAGGATAGTTTTTCTTTTTTTTTTTTCCCTTTTTCTCTGTTTTCGTGACCGGCAACGGGATCGCAACCCTCGGTGTCGCGCCCGCACCGCGCTCAACCAGTGAGCGGACCAGTCTCTATATGGGATCCGAACCCTCGGCGGGAGCGCCACCATGCTCCCAAGCACCACACTCTACCGAGTGCTCCACCGGGCCGGCCCGAAAGGATAGTTTTTCAACAACTGGTGTTGAAAATATTAGCTTACTACAGAAAAAAAAAACTGAACCTGAACTGACCTTACACCTTATACAAACATTAACTCAAAATAAATCATACATATAAAAATAAAACATAAAACTATAATACTTTTAGAAGAAAATATAAAATCTTTTGTGACTGGGGATTAGGTGAAGAGTTCTTAGAAATGACAATAAAATCATGATCCATGAAAGAAAAAGCTGATAAATTAAACTTCATCAAAATTAAGAACTGTCATTCTACCAAAGATACAGTCAAGAAAATGAAAAGACAAGGTACGAACTGGGAGAAAATATTTGCAAATCACATATCCAACAAAGGGCTTTTATCTGCAATATTTAAAGAACTACTCAACAGTAAGAGAATAAACAACCAAAGTGACCTGACAGATTTCCTTAAATGTCTGGATCAAAAAAACAAAAGCATGTTTGTCTCTTTAAATCATACAGAGGGGGTCAAAAGGCAGGCAGGCATCTGGGTTGGTCCCTCAGGGAATCACCAAGACCAATAAAAATGCACAACTCCTAATTTTTGGAAGGCAAGGTCCTTACTGCCTACCCTGGCACCAACCAGCTGCTCCAGGAAGGTAGCCTGTGGTTTCCATGACCTCAGCAGGACTGAGGAATGGTGGATGGTAGTTGGTTCACACATGCTGCTGTCTTCCCAAATTTTAGCAGCCTCTCCCTTCATGAAGCAATTCCCTTAGTTGTTGTTAAGTGTCTGATCGGGTTTCAGAGTTCCAAAGTAGATTATTCTGATCATGTTTTTCCAGTTTAGTGGTTGTTTTTATGGAAGGGCAGACCCCTGAAGCTTCCTGCTCTGCCATTTTCTGTGACATCTCCCGCTACTGTGTTTTTGACTATTATGTCTTTGTATAATTTTGTTTGTGGTTGCTCTAGAGACTACAAAGTACAGACTAAGTTTTCACTTCAAGTTTAATGTAGAACCTGACAACCATATAGGTCCCTTTGTTCTCTACCCTTTATCTTTTAGGTATTTTATACATTACATCTACATACATTTTTTGTTTGGTTAGCTTTTTTTTCCAATCTCTTTTCTTTTTCTTTTGAAAGTTTAACGTATTATTGTGATTGTTTCTCTTTCTTTATTTTAGCTCCCACTTATATATCTGCATACATTTTTTTTTTTTTTGTCTTTTTGTCTTTTTTCCTGACCGGCAACGGATCGCAACCCTCCGTGTCGCGCCTGTACCGGACCGGGACCGGCAACGGGATCGCAACCTTCGGTGTTGCCCCCGCTCCTCGCTCAGCCAGTGAGCGGCCGGTCTGTATGTGGGATCCAAACCCTCGGCGGGAGCGCCGCCACGCTTCCCAAGCGGCGCACTGTAGCAGTGCGCCACCGGGCCGGCCCCTATATCTACATACATTTAAAACCTCATCTAACAATGTTAGAATTTTTGTTTTCAACCATCAACTTATTTTAAAGAATTCAAGATGAGAAGAATATTTATTTTTACCTGGGTATTTAGCAGTTTCGTTGTTCTTCCTACATTCCTGTTATTTCAAGATTCCTTCTATATCATTATCTCTTCTGTCTGAAGATCTTCTTTAAGCCAATATTTTAGAGCAGGATGGCTGGCAACAAATTCTCTTAATTTTTCTTCATCTGAGAATGTCTTTATTTCACCTTTCTTAGGATATTATCACTTGGTATACAATTCTGGGTTTTACTTCTTGCAGCACATTAAAATGTTCACTTCCTTCTGTTCTTCATAATTTGATGAGACATCTGCAGTCATTCACATCCCTCAAGTAACACATCATTTTTCTCTGGCTGCTTTCAATTGTTTTTCTTTATCCGTAGCTTTCAGTATTGTAATTATGATGTGCCTGGGCATAAATTGGCTAGGGTTTATCCTATTTGGTGTTTACTGAGCATCTTGAATCTGCAGGTTTATGTATTTCATCAAATTTGGGGAGTGTTCAGCCATCATTTCTTCAGATATTTTTCTGCACTACATACTTTCTTCTCTTGGGATTCTAATGACAGAATTGTTAGACCTTTTGGTATAATCCCAGAGATTCCTGAGGTTCTGTTCATATTTTAAATCTTTGTTCTCTCTGCTGTTCAGATTGCATAATTCCTATCAATCTGTCTTCAAGTTCACAGACTCTTTCCTCTGACATTTTTTGGGGGGTGGTGGTGTGTTATTTTTCAGTTCTAAAATTTCCATTTGGTACTTTTTGGCGGGGGGGGGGCAGCTGGTTGGTACAGGGATTGAACCCTAGACCTTGGTGTTACCAGCACCACTCTCTAACCAGCTGAGCTAACTAGCTAGCCCCCATTTGGTACTCTTTTATGTTTTCATTTTGCCCAGATTTTCTGTCTTTTATTTCACAAATGTTCTTACTTGGAGCATTTTTACATGGCTACTTTAAAGTCTTCATCAGATAATTCTAACATCTGTATCCTCTCAATGCTAATGTCTATTGCTTGCCTTTTCCTATGTGAGTTGAAATTTTCCTGGTTCTTTGTATGCCAAGTAATTTTGGGTTGTATCCTAGATATCTGAATATTGTAAGACACTGTATCTTATTTAAATCTTATGGAGAATGTTGACATTATTTTGGCAGGCATTAAACCTGGTTGGATTCAGGTCACAAGTTCCAACGAGCCTTTTGTGGCTTGCGATTTCAATGTTAGTTTCATTTTTAAAAGTTTTGCACTAGTAGTCCGATCTTTCCCTGGGCTGTGGTTTTTTTCTTTAGTTTAGTTCTCCCCAGTCTTTAATATGCTCTTAGGATCAGATCCACACAGGTACAGTTTGGAAGTTGAGCCCAGCAGTTCATAAACAATTTTATGGGGTCGATTTCCTAATCTCCTTCCTCTTTGCAAAATACCCAGTACTTTCCAGTTTTCTGGGACTCTTCTTTTTTGTTCTCTGAACAGAAAGTGAGGCTTTATTTAAACCCATTCTGCCACATGTTTCTAAGCTGTGCCTGCATCCAGGACAAGGTAGCAGGAGGACAGAGAGAGAAAACAAGCAACAGAGATTCGACCCATCTTCTTGGGACCACATGTGTATGATTTTATTTCTAACTGGAGAAGAAAGTTCTCAGAATTTTAGTGCCTGCAGGCCCTTATTGCCACTTCTGTTGCTGCCAGGAATCCCCTTTCCCTCTCCCTGAGCCTGAACTGAAGGAGCTTCTCCTGGAGTTCTGTCTATTCCCCTTCCAGATTTTAGGCTATCTTGAGTCCAGCTTGGTTGGTACTAGAGGGGAAAAAAGGTGGTAAACTCACCACCACGGTCAGTGGTACTTCAAATTCTCATCTTCTTCCCCAATCTGCCTTTTACTGTTAACTTTTCAGAGTCCTTAAGTAGCTGCTGCATGCATTCTATTCAGGTTTTATAGCTGCATTCAATGGGAAGGACAGGATAGAGTGTACCTATAACATCTTACTCAGAACTGGAACCTCTGTTTCTGACTGCTTTTAGGATTTTTTCTCTTTAATTTTGGTTTTCTGCAGTTTGACCATGATATGCCTATCTGTAGTTTTCTTTGTATTTCTCTTGATCGAGGTTCACTAAGCTTCTTGAATTGTAGGTTGATAACTTTAATCAATTTTGGGAAATTCTCCGGCATTATCTCTTCTAAGATTTCTTTTGCTTCCTTCTCTCTTTCTTGGATTTTAATTATATTATACATACGGTATTCATTTGATACTGTCTTCCGTGTCTCTTATGCTTTATTCTTTTTTTATTCTATTTTTTCTCTCTGTGCTGCAGTCTACATAATTTCTATTGATCCATCTTTGAATTACCTGACTCTTTCTTTTGCTGTGCCTAGTCTTTCTTTTTTAACCTTAAACTAAAAAATCCTGAATAAAAAATGAAAAACTTGTCCAGCTGATTGTATATTTTTATTTCTCCTGTCTGAAATAAGTAATGGAACCAGGCATAAATAACTAATACTATATCATGATTTTTTTCCCCCAAAGAAAATTTTAAAAATACTCTATTATTAGTCGAGGAATCATCTTTTTCTAATCTTGGATAAGATTTTAAAATGAACAAATACTAGAAGAGAGGGTATATTTTTCTTCTCTCTATAGTAGCTGATTAGTTTCTATATGAATAAAGAAGAATGGGTATCTTTTTTCAGTTATTTAACAAGTATTTATTGACTAAACTCATGTGACAAGTTGAAGATGTCTTATCTAGGTTAAATAACAATCCATTTTACCACTTGACAGGGCTTTCCCAAAATCCATTTAACAGTGTACTCAAAGTTTTATACCACTTCCCCTGCCTCTTAAGAGTTCAGGGAGAAGGGACTGGGTTGTCTGGTTTCACTTAGCACTCCTTTCTTCCTAACTAATTCCATTTTATTCAAACCCCAGAACGAAGATTTATTGAACATCTCATATTAATTATGTGCTAAGCAATTTGCCAAGCATTGGGAAATACAAAGACAATTAAAAGATGGTTCCTAGAAGGACACAGATATAAAGAGGTACCATAAGATGTTAGAAAAATTAATGATAGAGGTAAATATATCATGCAGGAGAGGCAGAGTAGAAGTAGTAGAAGTAGTCATTTCTACCAAAAAGAGGTAGAAGATAAAAAACTTACAGTGAGGGCCGGCCCGTGGCTCACTCGGGAGAGTGCGGTGCTGATAACACCAAGGCCCCGGGTTCGGATCCCATATAGGGATGGCCGGTTTGCTCACTGGCTGAGCATGGTGCTGACAACACCAAGTCAAGGGTTAAGATCCCCTTACCGGTCATCTTTTAAAAAAAAAAAAAAACTTACAGTGAGTCTTGTAGTGTGACATAAGTTGCCTGGAGGAGAGGGGATAGGAGAAAAAGTTATTTCCCAGCAGTGATTTATTATTAAAGGTATGTATGGAAGGTGAAATACCATGCAATTTATTTAAAAAGCACAAATAGTCCAAGAAGATTTTTGGTGTGAAACTGGGAGGAAATTTTTATTTTTCTTATTTATCTCTTTCCTCCTAATTTTTAAAATTTTTCTTTGAAGGTTATCAACTGGCAAACATCTCTTCACATTCCACCACAAGCTAAACTGAGCCCTGAAGCCTCTGATCTTATTATTAAACTTTGCCGAGGACCAGAAGATCGCCTAGGCAAGAATGGTGCTGATGAAATAAAAGCTCATCCATTTTTTAAAACAATTGATTTCTCCAGTGACCTGAGACAGCAGTCCGCTTCATATATTCCTAAAATCACACACCCAACAGATACATCAAATTTCGATCCTGTTGATCCTGATAAGTTATGGAGTGATGATAATGAGGAAGAAAATGTAAATGACACTCTTAATGGATGGTATAAAAATGGAAAGCACCCTGAACATGCTTTCTACGAATTTACCTTTCGAAGATTTTTTGATGACAATGGCTACCCATATAATTATCCAAAGCCTATTGAATATGAATACATTAATTCACAAGGGTCAGAGCAAAAGTTGGATGAAGATGATCAACACACAGGCTCAGAGGTGAAAAATCGTGACCTAGTATATGTTTAAAACACTAGGAAATAATTGTAACGAGGATTTGCGAAAAGGCCTGAATGCAGGATTTTTTGAGGTTTTAAGAGTAAAATTATGCAAATGTGGCAGAGCTATGTATGTGTGCTCTGTGTACAATATTTAATTTTCCTAAATTATGGGAAATCCTTTTGAAATGTTAATTTATTCCAGCCTTTTTAATCAGTAATTTAGAAAAAAAAATCGTTATAAGGAAAGTAAATTATGAACTGAATATTATAGTCAGTTCTTGGTACTTAAAGTACTTAAAATAAAAAATAGTGGTTTGTTTAAAGGAAAAGCCTCGTATCTATTTGCATATATGCTAAATAATTTTAAAAGACGAGTTTTTGAAATTTTTTTGAAAGACAGTTTTAGTTTTGTCTTGCTTTAACCAAATATGGAACATACCCTTTATTTACACAGCTTTTTTTTCCCCCTTAACCTTGTTTTGGGTACAAAATAAGCTAGAGTAATTAAGCCATCATGTTGATTGTTCCTAGGCTAATGATATCTGTATCGTTAACTTCCTGGAACTAAGAAATACAGGGTTAAAACAATATAAATGCGTTCATCAGAAGGAAAAATAATGTAGTCTATCTTTTTCCCCCCTCTGAAATATTCAGTCTGTAGCATTTATTTCTTAATAGTTACTGGCTTTTAAAAGAAGCCAAAGCACTACTAGTTTTCTTTCCATACTGATAGTTTTAATGCTGCTTCCAGTTTTAAAAGAGAACAAAGCTGCCATAAATAAAAAATTTCAAATACTAAAAGTGAAGATCTTTTGCATTTTTACTTTGAAATTTAATAAAATATTCCACCATTCTTAGCAGAGAAATTATTTTCAGTTTCATATTAAACTTCGGTTAGAAATTATTTGTGGGTTCACCTTGATCAAAAAAAAAATTACTTGTGATAACTCACTAGAAAAGTACTTTTTCTATACAGTGACTAGTTTTGATTATGTCATCAATGTTACAGGTTTCTTCCTCTTTCAGGACAATGCTGCATATACAGATTGTTATTGGCACAAGAAAATCTGGCTATTTGGCAGTATTCTACCTAAGGGCAGATTAATTGATGAAAAAGTTAATTATTAACTCTTAATTGAGATGGCCATTAGTAAATAGGAAAAGTTACATAGTGTCTCAGTAGAAAATTCAAGTTCTAACTTATTTAAGGTTAAATAATGTTTTTCAACATGCCTATTACATACGTTTAGGTTCTAAGAAAGACTTGTGGTTTCATACCAAAATACATATAGCTTATCTTTTAGAAGAGGGGAAAAGGGCTCTATTCTGACCTTAGTAAAGTTTCTATTTTATTTTATTTCCTTAAGCTACACTGATATGGAATCGTTTTATTCGAACTTACTATTTGTGGATAAGAGGCATAATTTTAGTGATTTTCAAACTTTTAGCTTTCTTCACATAAAAGCTAGTGGAAACCGTATATATAGTAAAATTAAAGGCAAAGCTGTTCCAGTTTAAATTGGGGGAAGGGCACAGAACACTTACAAGCTCACACTTCCCACCTTTTTACAGGTGATCCTCTCAGAGCTCAGCCTGAAAACCACTGCCATGTTATGGTGGGTGTTTCGGGGTCACTGGTTCTTTATCTAATTAAATGAAAGCTGTGGACTCCCCAGAAAAAAATGCACATGGATGCATATGCAGAAAATGTTACGGGCATGTTGAAACCCGTCACAGACTCTACGTTAAGGACCTCTGTCCTATAAGAAAATTGATATATTAAACTAAGAACTTTGGCTTTGAATTTACTGATCAGTACTCACGTTAGCATATCTTGTATAAACACTGATAATTTGTGATGGAAAAGGTCTGTAGCATGTGATAAGATGACCCTATGGATGCCTCTGTCTTGCTGGTACAACACTAAGATGTTTTAAATACATTATTTTATGGGCATTGAAATGTTTAGCTCATTACAGGCTTGATACAGAACTATTTCTGAAGGGTTTCTAATCAGAGAATTGTAAGAAAGTGCACTATAATGAGATGGCAGTCTTCAAGGAACGTTGATTAGTACTATGAAATCCTATGCAAAACAAACTAGTTGGTTCAAGAATTTTTAGCTCAGTACTCACATGTATAAGATATCCCTCTTGCTCTTTGGGCTTTTTCAGTCAGATTTATTTAAATTTTCGTTTAGTTTTACTTCTGGACTATGGTGCAATACAGTAGGAAACAACTTTGTTACATTTATGTTGTAGGAAAACTAAGGTGCTGTCTCCTCCCCCTCACTCCCCACAAAATCTGTATTCCCTTATTCCTCAATGTAACAGACACTACAAATTTTGTATCCTTTTTTATTTTCCTCCGACAGTGTAAGCCCTTTTTGTGTTCATCTGAAGCAGTATACAAGTTTTTAGTATCTGCGGTTTTAACAGTTTGAATATACTTATTAGATATCTTATTCCCAAACTACATACGTTTCTTGCAGTATAGATGCTTCCTGACCAAAAAGATGAGAACAGCAACATAAAAAATCTAGATGCTCTCAATTGAAATGAAGTGAAAACATTGGTTCTACATGTTTTCTTTTTCAAATAATTTTCTCACTCATTAAAAAACTTGCTGTCCTTCTTATACTTACCCCTTTTATGCATATCAATAGTATTTATAAAATGTGTTCTATAATTATGTAATTGTAGATACTGTTATGTTTTGTCCAGTGAGATCCTGAGGCAGGTCCTATTGCTGTATCTTTTCTACCTTCTTATTTGTGATAGAAACTATAGAATGTATGACTAAGAAGTCACTTTGAGATTGACTTTTTAAAAAAGTTATTACCAGGCCGGCCCGTGGCTCACTTGGTAGAGTGCGGTGCTGATAACACCAAGGCCACGGGTTCGGATCCTATATAGGGATGGCCGGTTTGCTCACTGGCTGAGCGTGGTGCTGACAACACCAAGCCAAGGGTTGAGATCCCCTTACCGGTCATCTTTTATAAAAAAATAAAATAAAATAAAATAAAAAAGTTATTACCTTCTGCTGTTGCAAAGTGCAAAACTGTGAGGGGAAATGTTTTATTCTGACTTATTATTAATATGTTAGAAATTAGAGAAGACAGTGGGAGGATTTTTTTAGACATTGCTGCTGCTGTTACCCAAGGTACTTTAGAAATTTTTCTTTAATAAACAAAAATAAACAAAATTCCCTTTGGTATTTAAAGTGAAACATTTAGCCTATTTGTTTTCATCTGAAGCAAAAAGTAATTTGGGTCAACATATTGGTATATTTGTAAAGTGCCTTAGTATATATCCTTTTGTGGAAGGCACTACACAGTTTACTTTTATATTGTATTGTGTACATAAGTATTTTGTATTAAAATTGAATCAATGGCAACACTACAGTTTTATAAAATAATGCTTTGTTAGAAAAGGGATTACAGCTTTGCAATATAACTAAATTGTTTTGCATACTTCTGAATGTAATAGATATGAATAATCAGCGTGTGTTTTTAATGAATCTATTTGTATTTTCCCAATCAGTCTCTCTAGTGTAATGTTTGCTGGGATAATAAAAAAAAAAGCAAAATTCAAATCTTTCAATTATGTGTGAAAAGCTGACTTTTAAGCTGCTTAAGTATATTAATTTTTTTATTCAAAAATTTATTTTAAACTTTATTCTCTGAGAAAATTTATGATTAAAATTCTGATGGTTTGGAATTAAAATATATATAACTAATGATAGTAATTAGTTAGGTTAGGGCAAACTGAATATAGTGTAAATGTTAAATGTTTCTATTTAAATGTTTTCATTTTGTCCATATAATAAATACTTCATGTTAAAGGCTTTCTTCAGATTACAGGTTCAAAACTTTTTAATTGTCAAATTCTACATTTAGTATCATTTGAGTATAGCTTATAATTTTTAAAATGTGATGTTGGTTAATCTGTTTCCCTTTACTATCTTTTATCAAATGACATGCTTACTGGGTAAAATATGTCAATGTTTTTTCTTATATCAATTTTACATGGATGAACAAATACTAAGTTTTCTTCTTCTTCAAGCATTACCATCATTGTTATGTCTCCTTTTATCCCCTTGTTTGCACCCCTTGTAAATTTGTATTTGGTCTACATGAGGCTGTTATATAGCTGACACAAATTGCATTAGTCCTATGATTACTACATTGTGGACCCACATTTGACGTCACACATGCACACGCACACACACACACACGTCTCCTTATGTGTGTGAAGGGTAGAGGGAGGTACCCAAATGTACATCTGAAGCATAGACAATTATTGTACCCAGTATCCAGTCTTGTCTTCTTCCTTTCATTAACAGAGTTACCCAGAGATCCTGAACGTTTTGCTGGATTTGACTCTGGATGGAACTTTGGGTTGTTTCCCCTGATGAGAAAAAAAAAATGGTTCTCATGAGTACCTAGCTCTCAGAAGGGTTGACTAATGACAGGCTGCTGCTGTTCCCCAGTATCCATTCTCCCATTCTCTCTTTTACTAATAGAGCCCCCATCCCTCTCCGAGTTTTGACTGCACCACTAAAGCATGTTTCTCTTATTTTCTTGTAATTAGATATGGCCATCTGACTAGATTTTGGCTACTGGGATGTGAGCAGACATGATATGTGCAAATTCTACATACACTTAAAGTTGATATTGCATGCCCTCCACTTGCTCTTTCTCTCTTCCCACAGGATAGAACATGACATAGTGGTGATTTTTTTGTTTTTTTTTTTTGTCTTTTTTGTGACCGGCCGCACCGCGCTCAGCCAGTGAACGCACCAGCCATCCCTATATAGGATCCGAACCCGCGGTGGGAGCGCTGCGGCGCTCCCAGCGCGGTACTCTCCCGAGTGTGCCATGGGGTCGGCCCAATAGTGGTGATTTTATACCTAGTTTTCCATGAAAACTAGGAAAACACTAGTGATGGTGGATCAACAAAATGAATAGACCTGGTTACATGAGAGATTGTGTAAAGCAGAGTTGTCTGTCCAGCCTGGACTGATCAACTGCAGGATATTAGAGAAAATATATACATATAACCCACTGAGCCTATAACCTAACTAATATAGCGTATAATTTGTATTAGCATATAGTCTGATTTACAGAACAATTTAAGGAGGTACTTTGACCATCTCCCATGCAATCAAAATTCAGTTATTTTATCTCTTTGGTTTTTTTTCTAATTCATCATCAACCTAATCATTACTAACTTGGTTCAGGACCTCATCAGCCTAAATTGTAATAGTTTTCTAACAGCAGTCTTTGACTTCCTTCTGGTCCCTCAAATTTATTATCCAACCT